AAAGCACAAACAGCTAGAAATGTATTGTAAACTGGTATATTTAAATAATACCACTAATAGACAAGAAGACCGTATGTACAGTTTCTGTTGACATTTATTGACTTTTCTTAATAAGAAAAAGTGACTGAGACCCATCCTTTGTTGAGGAAAACTGTTTAGACTTTACAAGAACCTGTTTACTTCAAATACAGCGGCCTGCTACTGGTATACAAAGAATGAATTTAGATAGTCAATGGATGAAGACATGATCAGAACACTAAGCAGAAATACCATAAAGAGATTTGAGTATATGTATTTGTTATAAATGTTATAGTTTCATAGAGGCATCTAGATTAATATGTGCCACACTTCATTTAGTTACTTGAGAAGTGAACACTATGTATTCAGCTGAATGCGGAACAGAATTTTGTATTTATTATCTTTGATTTATTATGACAGACAAGTTAGAGTGAGTTTTTTCCAGTTCTTTATAGTTGTTCCACTAAAATGGATGTAATTTCTTTCAAAATAAACAGGCAAAAGATTTGCCTTTCGTATTGTATCCTCTGAATGAAGAACTATGCAAAGATCTTTTTTAAAGAATCCTGTTCACAGTAGATCTGTTTTCATTTACAGTACTATTTACATGGATTAAGTGTATGTTCTCAATTACCTCATATCAGAATTCTAGATGTTTTAGCTTTTGCTGATTTTATTTTTTTTCTTCCTCAAACTGTTTATATCTTCTGTAGCTTTGTAACTTTTGTCAGTTTTTGTTTACTTTATAAGAAACTAGTGTATTCTTAGCAAATGTATCATTATGTCAATACTTGAGTGGAAAAAAATTAGGTAGAGAATTTCAACTGTGTAGAATCACAGCTGAAATAAACTGTGTAGAACTGTACTAATTTTTCATATTTGGTCACTGTAATTAATGTTGACAATGTTAAGTACATATGGGAGAGAATAGAGTAGTTTGGCTTTATTGATCGATACAATATGGCTCCTAAACTTTTGATTCTCTTTAAAACGATTCTTTTTGCAGGATCACAATAATGTAATATGGATTCCTCTTGGTATATTAAACCAGTTTCACCTCTGTTATATGATACCAATCCAACTAGTACTTAACAGAAACCTTAGTCCTTCTGAATAGTTATCAGCAATTAAAATATCTAAATTCCTGACTCATGTTTCTCAGTATTGTAAGGGGGAATTTCTAAATTTTGTTTTTAAAGAATGAAAAAAAAATCATTATAATTTAGATGAATGTTTTAAGGTTTTTTATAAACAAAAGCTTAATGCAGAGGTTAGACATTTCTGTTGACCCAAAATTATTAATACAATATTTTTATACCAAGCAACTCTAGCTGAAAGCAAAAGTATCCAGTATATTAGCTTTATTTAAACTCACAGTGTGTGTAAGAAAATGAGTGGTGTATGGGAAGGGAATGGTTATTGAAATAAACAGAGGAATTTATGAATCTTCAAATTATATACAGGACAGATTAGAACAATATTAGCTCTCTGAGTTTTCTTAAATAATGTACCTAATAACTCTTTCTGGGCAAGTAGGAAATTTGGTTTATATTTCTTCTATTGCTAAACAAAAATATAATTTATGTTAAAAGGAGATTTTTTTTGTGTGTGTGAGTTTTCAACCAAAAATTGATGCAATTACCTCATCAGAAAATATTATTTAAAACCAGGAGGTTTTCTTGCAATCAATACTCAGGACACTGTCTTGCACTATATAGAAACAGCAAAGAGTAGAGGAATAGGTAATGTCCAACCCCAAATCAAAGTGCTAAAATGAAACCAGGGTGCAGATGCCTCTGACACTTATAAAAGGATCAGTCCTGTTGCTCAAATGGAGGAGTATTTGATAACGAAATATTTTATTTTCACTGGAGCAAATTGCTATGAAACCCTACTGAATGGGAATCATAACAGGTTTGAATTATTTTACCAAAGACATCTGCTTTTAGTAGGGGGTTTTTGGAGCAGATAACCTCTGTAGGTCTTTTCCAATCTGAATTATCTTGCAATCTTATGAAAATTTTTTCTGCAATAGAGTAATTTGGGTTGCACACTCTGTCTGGCTTGTAGTTTTCTCTCCGTTTACCTATATTTTTAAAATGTGGACTCTAATGACAGAAAAGAACCCATATGAAGTGTAATCTCACAGAAAGGAAGTAAATTTTCTGCACAGGAATGCAGTGTAGCACAAGAGCACTCAGGAATAGACCCTGCTAAAGCTAATAGCACAGGATCTGTACAAAACAGTTATCTACAAGAAGAAATTATTTATATTATTAAAAATAATGTATCAACTATGCAAATGGAAAGTTCAATTTCTTAATTAGTAATAGATTGTAGAATCGTAGAATGGTCTGGGTTGGAAGAGACCTTAAAGATCATCTAGTTCCAACTCCCCTGCCATGAGCAGGGACACCTTCCACTAGACCAGGTTGTTCAAAGCCTCATCCAACCTGGCCTTGGATACATTTGAAGAAAATTATACCCATACTTTAAAATTAGTAATCTGAGAAAATGTGTACAGACAGTAGGAGGAATACAAATAATATTTTTATCTGCTGTTTATCATTTTCTTGGGTTTACACTAAGGAAAAGTGCTGAATGCCACTAAGCAGATAGAACCTCCCAATATTTTAGCATAATGAAGTGTATCAAACAGTCTGTTCTGAATTTAAATCTGGTAAACTGCTCAGGTTTTAAACATCTCTTCAGAATCTAAACTTTCTTGAGGTTTTTCATTTACATTTATATATTGGATGGAGATTCATCCATTTGATGGGGAGTGAATCCTAGTGCTTGAAATCATGTTTTACCCTTCTGTATTGAAGGTTATTATCCTGACCTAACTGTGTGTGCAATAACTTATGCACACATAGCGGTAGCAACTGAAGCAGTTGACCACTGGGGAAACTGAGGAAGAGTGCTTCTGAAGGGGGGAATATAGGCATGTTTTTATCCACTTCAGTGGCTGCTGCAAACTCTGCCAAGCTGCAGAGATCCCAGATGAAACCTCCTAAGGACCCCTTGCACCAAAGAAGAATGAGTTAATACATTTTATTTCTTGTTTTCTGATATTGTTCTTACCACGTCAGAAAAGAGGAAAGCTTTAACTCAGGGGTTCTTGTGTTTTTAAGTGTTTACAGTCGATAACTCGGTGCTGTGTAGACTTACTGCACCAAAAACTTAGGTTAAAATTGAGCAAAATCTTACTGAAGCCAAAGCAGACACTCTGCAGAGCTATTTCAGCAAGAGAAGTTCAGAAGTTTTTGTATTTATGTTAAATACAAAACAGCATGATCAGAGTCTCGTATAAACATTTATTCCTTGCCTGTTAAAAAGAATGAAACCATTGAAGTTGTTGACTGCTGCTATTTCTAAATTTACATGTGAGTCCTGGTGATGTCACTAAGAACTCATGCAAAAGGAGTGTTTGAGTTTATCATGTTTCTAAATAAAGCATGAAAACTCTGTGCTATGCCATTTATAAAAGTTGTAATAGTAGATCAATATCATATGGTGTGCTAGTATAATAGTGTATCGTGTTTTGCTTTTATAGGGACCATATGAACCACTGCAAAAATAATTGTACATAATGGTGATATTATTCACTTCATAATGCATTTTACTGATTTATTCTCTGTTCTGCATAATTATCCATTTTCCAATGAGTTCTATGCACTTTTCACATTCACTTCATCAAGCACCAAATTATGAAGCAATAACAGACTCCTATTATAGCCTATTACAAAGTAATCATTGCTGCCACCTATTATTTGTTGTTTACAGCCAATGAGGTTTCTGTGTTACTGAGTTTTCCACAGAAAATTATGAAGTAGGTGACATTTGGCTGGTCTGCTTCTTACCCTTGGAATTACTTCACATTTGGCGGCTCAAGTGCCAAATAAGTTTGTGAAATTATATGTTTGTAGCATTTGTGCATGGGCTATATGACTGTAATGAAGTTGACTTTCTGTTAGTTCAGAAACTAACCACCTTGTCCCTCTTCCTGACTCCTATGAGCAATGTGTTAATTGGAAGTGTTAGCAACTGGCATATCAAAATCAGCATCTTTCTTAAACCCACAACAGTAACGGAAGCTGGGATTGAGTGTATTCTGTGAAGGAAATTGTGAGACAGTGTAGGATATTTTAAACATAAATTTTTAGACTTGCTTTACAATAATAAAGGAGCAAAGATCCCTTAAGTCAGGAAGAATGCAATTTCCTAGGCCTTTTTTTCAGCCTTTCAGAATTTAAGATGTATAATTCAAGGATGTGTATGTAGGTATATATTGTGCTTCCATCTCACAGTCAGATACATCTATTAATGGAAATGTGGAGCAGTACAACCTTTGTGACATCACAATCTGTGCAAACTTTGATTTTCTAAGCAATCTATTGCAATAGTGTAATAAATAATGATTTCTTATTGTAATGTACTCTCCTTGTGGGAGCTATGGTAGCAAAAAGATTGCTTTTTTACTGCTTATGGCCTGTAATTGGCAAGCTTTGCACTGCATTGTTGGCATAAGTGTCTGCCTTCAACCATGGAAAAATATCAAATCATTTTAGGGAGATTTGCTGTCTCATTATGTCATAAACCAAAAATTTAAACAGTAAATCTCAGTATAGGAGGTAAAGATGTTGAGAAAGACATGTAAAATAAAGACATATGACTTTGAAAGAGACTTTGTTAATACAGTGTATAAACATATATATAAGTGATGCCACTTATTGTTAGACATGTAATACAGCTTGGCCAAATGGTTTGTTACCAGTAGGCTTTGCAAATGGGAACGTTTATGTACTTGCAATTGCAAAACACCTTTTGGAACTGATGTTATCCTTTTGACTTCATGGAATAGGATCTAGAGAAACATCAAGAAGATAACTAACACTCTTTTGGCCAATAAATTATAATCTCCTTCTTTGCTTGCTTGTTAAAACTTCTTTGCAAGACTAACTCTCATTTTTCTGTAACAGGCACATAGTTGTCTGTGGTCACATAACACTTGAAAGTGTGTCCAACTTCCTGAAGGACTTCCTGCACAAGGATAGGGATGATGTCAACGTAGAAATCGTCTTTCTGCATAAGTGAGTAATCTTTCAAGATTAGTTTTATCATCTGTTACTAAAATTCATTAAATTGAAGACAGAGGATCTTTCTCCAAATAACCATAAAATTAATGTTTGCAATTACTGTTGTTAACAATGTATTTTGAAAAAAAGTTGTTTTCTGCAATTTTTATAACCCATTGCTAAGTATAGGTGTTTCAAGCAGACTTCAGACCTAATCGTGTCAATTGTGAGGTAGATAGCTAAACACATAGTTGAAGTGGGAATGGAATTGTGCAATTAAAAATATTGAAATACTAATAAATAGATGTGCGAATTTTCTTTAGTGTCAAATATTTCTAGTGAAACTACCAAAATTGGTAAAATTGGTGGAGAATACTGTATGTCATATGAACTTATGCTATCTGAAAACATATTTTCATTTTTTATTTCACTAGGAAAAAATTCATATTGGAAACTATAAAAAGAAAAATGTAGGTGCAGATGTAGTTTTAATATAAATGAACTTTATATTACTTTAGAGATATAGTGAAGATATAAGAGTTCTTTTCATGGTGATAATTAGTGGTGCTCTTTTACCCATATATGCTTACCTACACACACAGTCTCCTGCATTTTTCTGATGTGGGATTTGGAAAGGTGTCGTAAGGTGGTTGCTGTTTGTTGTAGGCTCTGCATTGGCATGCCTATGGGAGAAGCTGCTAGAAATAGACAATATGAAATAGACAATATGAAAGATCTTTTCTGCTCTGGAATGGCATCTGTTTAGAAGTGTTGCAAGCTATGAATAAGTAATATTTTTTTTTTTTAATTTAGCAGCAAGTTCTGCACTTTTCTTCTTGTCAAAGAAAATTATTAAAAAGTTGAAGAATCATCTGTGATGTTTCAACAAAGGAAGATGAAAAACTAAGAATCAGCAGCACTTGTACATTTTTTTTTATGCAGTCCTTTCAAATTGAGCTAAAGATTATATCCTCAAGTAGCTACATTATTTGTTTGCTTGTTTCCTCTCTCTAAGTAGTAACAAGAATTGACTGTCAGAGGAAAGTAGAGATCCAGATTTCCACAGTGAAAATTCATGGCCTTACGAATCAGGAAACTGCATAGGGACCTGAAGGGTGTTTAGCACCTGGCTACTTGTTTCTGCCTGCTTTCTTCTGTACCTTCACAGAAATATTTGCATGTATCTGTTTTATTTTCTTATTAAATTTAGCATGTGGCATGACAAAGATCTCATGCATTTACTACATAGCTATTATATCCCTTCTGTTTTAATGAGTGGCATCAGAAAAGGTTGGTGTCACATTATATGATAGGTTGTGATCCATTTAATTTTTTTTTGTTTATGTCAAAATGAAATGAGACAGAAAGTCACAGTATCATTATGTTTGTTTTAACTGTAGCTCATACAGGCCACAAGGTCCCTATGGGGTTCCTTTTCTGGCTTTTAGTGATTTTTGAATTGAGATCTCTGATGCAATCAGCTGTTTTGAGAATGGTTTGGACATGCAGAGGATGATTGTCTTACTAGACAATTTCTATGGAGAATGTTCTATGAGGATATTTTCAAATGTTTGCACCAATTCTTCTGGATTCACCTCTGTGAGAACCTGACAAATGATGAACACGCACAGCAGCACAATGAAGTGGTCTAGAAGTGCTGTAGACAGAAGTGAGGAGGCGAAAGCAGTATAGTATTTGCCTTTTAAGTACTGCACACTATTTCCACACTACAGGAGAAACATCAGCAGAAGTCTTGAATACCTAAAATAAATAAATGGTTAGGTTTATACATGAAGGAAATGGGGCAGTTATGGAAACTGACTTCTGATTTGCTCTTGTGTTTTCTTCCTCTTCCTAATGCAGTATCTCCCCTAACCTTGAGCTGGAAGCTCTTTTTAAACGACACTTCACTCAGGTGGAATTTTATCAGGGTTCAGTCCTTAATCCCCATGACCTGGCGAGAGTGAAGGTAACAGCTCTGTTCTTCTGTTCTACTGCTAACTGACTTTTTAAAGTACTCACTGGATTTGGAGAAAAACAGTAAAGCTTTTCTTCATGTAACCCCACAAGATTGTTTTTCCATCTGTGTTAGCTTGCCTAATAAATTATAATATCTACCCTTATAAACCTTGTTTTCCCTATATCTTTAGATCTCCAAAGCTACAGTAACACTGTAACTTAAGATACATTATCTGCCATACCATTGAACTCTTTATGAATTTTTCGTTGGGACTTAGTTCAAAAGTCTATTTTACATTAATGTTTGATATAATAGAACATTGTCTTACAGTAATTGCTTAAAATGCTATTGTCTTACCTTCGTCATTATTAGAAAATTATTTTCATCTGTCGAACCCTTCTTCCATTGTCTAGAATCCTGGAAAAAAAATACAATTTAAGATTTTTGGTAGCTAAAATGAGATGGTTTTATTGTCTACAATTCTGTATGGTAATAAATTATTTTGTACTCTTAAAGCAAAGCATGAAGCTTAAATGAAAAAAAAAAAATTATGGCAAGCTGTCAGATACCGCATTAAGTTTTTTAAGTTTCTGTTTCTCTCTCTGTCTTTTTTTTTTTTTTTTTTTTTTTTCTCTATAATGGAATGTAAACCGGATACTTAAGCCAGAATATTTTAGTGCAATGTTAATACTTTCTAGAGTATTAATCATGTCTTTTGTCCATTTTGAAATTGCTTAACCTTTTTAGCCCAACACACCCTATTTCAGTTCATCAGAACAAAATGTTCTAATTATGACCATAAAATTATGTGTTGGTATTTTTTGTTCTGTATTCCACCCTTCTTTGTGTTGGTATTTGGTTGTATAGCCTGAAAAATACTTTTGTCATCTGCTTTGAGTTAAATAGAACTAAGGTTTGTGTGAACATAGAGGTCCTGTGAACAGAGCAGTTCTCCTCCTCATGCTTTCTAAAACTGGTGCTCAGATTCTAAATCATCAGTTCAGCTCTCTCTTCCTGTCTCTAATAGGAAGATACATAAATTCCCAAATAAAGCTGTAGGACTTGTGGCAGCACTGTACTGATACAACAGGAAATTCCTATGGATTTAATGGTCTACATTTCAGTAGCTGATTACACAAGATATGTCCATTAACACCTTCACGCCTCAGCTAATACAATATAAGAATCAATAATTAAACTACTGACCTGGTCTGAGCATCATAAGCAAGTTTCAAGAAATTGATGTGTTTATGAGAGCTGTTATCATCACTCACATTAATTCACATTAGCCTTGAAACATTTTTGGTTATCAGTATTAAGAACTGACATTCACACTCATGATAGCAGTGTTGAATTCCCTAATACTTTATGGTGAAAGAAGGGCTCAAAAGAGAGGTTGCTATTTATGTTTGCTTTTTCTTTGGTGTCTCAGATAGAGTCAGCAGATGCGTGCCTAATCCTTGCCAATAAATACTGTGCTGACCCAGATGCTGAAGATGCCTCCAATATTATGAGGTAAACTCATTAGTTTTTAATAGGTTTTTGGTTCTTAAGTCTGATTAGCTATCTGTTGCCCTTGAAGAACATTGTAGGGTTTTTTTTGTGGGGGACAAATTACAGTATTGTTTCAAAAATTCAGACATGAGGATACCCTAAATTCCTGCCTAAACTGTTTTAATTTAGCTGCTTTAGAAAGAGTGCGTGAGAAGAGACACTTGAAGCACGAGCTTTGGTACTCTTAGTCATTTAGCAAGACCTGGGGTTTAAGTGTTCATAGCTGAACACAGTCCCAATATAAATGAGAGGAAAGGGCCTGCAGTTATGTTGTTGCAACAATATGGTACATGAGTGCATATGCTACATGGGCTGATGTTAATGATGGGATGGAAGGACCCTTAATAACTTCATACCTCATTGCTCCTTGATTTATCTGCTTCTTCAAGTAATTATGCTGCTTGAGGGAAAGCAAGGTATATACTTCACGATGGTAATGATACAGTGGTGTTCTAAGTCCATCCTTCTTTTTTACACTGAAGACCAAACATTGTTTATTTTGATTGACAAGACATTTACCACATTATGGACTAGCAGATCTTGTCCTGCTTTCCTCCTTATATTCTCTGAAGGAAGAAGATGAAAGAGTCAGTCAGTAGATGGCAGCTAAAGTTACAACAAAGCTAAGCCATTCATTTTTTTGTGTTTTGTTCATACAACCCTGGTTTTAATGAGATCAGTTTCTCCTTTTTAAAATTAAAATGTCAATGATGTGTTAAAAATTATCTAACATAGAATTGGCTAGTGTAATTAACCGATTTTACTGATGTGTCAGATGTTTGCATGCTGTGAGTTGAAGGAAAGGGGGAAATTGAAAAATATTAATAAAATTGCTCCTGTGGAAGAAGTTCACTGGGTACAAGAGATCTGGCTGTCTGTGGAAGGTGCAGAGCTTAAATATGTCTAATTTCATTTTCCAAACATGCTTTTGAGTTTCAGGGCAAGAAACTTTGTTTTGACATTAATTGCATAAATACATTAAAAATATTTAAGTTGCAATTAGTGCATTCTTAATAGATTTAGTAAATTTAATGTAATAAAATGCAAAAGAGAGTGGAATTCTCTTGTGTTTTCTCACGTTAAGGGAATTTAATTCAACAAAATTGAATGTTTAATTAAATAAGTCAGAAATAAATGGAAAATTAGAAGGAAGTCTTGTTTTCTTCTTCCAAAAGATAATATAAAGTAAAATCATCCATAAAACTTTTTTCATCTGTTTAATTCTCTTATTTAGTGCTCTAGCTTTGATAAAATGCTTCAAAGCACAAGCTAGACAAGCAGTTTGCAAGATACTTCTTACAAAACACTAATGTAAACAGTTATTGCATTTGGAGTCTTATGAGAGTGGTGATTTCATAATAATTCATATTATTTTTTCATTTTGATTGTTTTATTTTCTTTTTTCTACCTTTAGTTTGTATATACAGAGCTGATTTTTTTTTTTGCCTATTTCTCTCTTTAATTTTGCTCAATGCTTTTTTAATTTTTAAATTGTATGTTCCTTTTTTGTAACATTATCAATCCATTAATTTCTCAAACGTTTTTCTTTCCAGACACTTTTACTCTGTACACATTTAAATATACCTTAGGCTCACTAAATAATTAAGAATACAGTCAAGCTGCAGATTATGGAATTAGCCCCATATTTTATAGATTCGGAGTTCAGATATCAGTTTCATTATTGAGTTTTGGAATAATCCATAAAAATTAAGATGAATTTGCATGTGGATTTATGTCATACAAAATCATTATTCAATGAATATATATATAATTAATGTCTAGCAACTATAAATAAATAATATGTGATGGGGCAGAAAGAAAGGAATTCTTTCCAGACATTTATCATTGGGAAATTTGATCAGTTATGTTGATTCAAAGACATGAAGATAATCATTGAAGATGACATAATAATTGCAAGTGTATTATTTGCTTAACAGAATGAGTACAGTATCTGAACAGAGCTGCTAAAACAAGTCTCTCTGCCGATTCCATAAGAGTAAATCATTCAAATGAATAATTCCTGAAGCTTCATGTTCTCTAGTATTAGCTCATGGTTATTAACTGAATTTGACTAGATGTAAATATTGCATAGGTCTGACTTGAATTGGTGTACTTTACAGCCAGATTAATAAGAGGGTCCAGTTTTAGTTGTGGAACTTGACAACACAGTAAAGGTATTGGGATACATTATCCAAATACCCCACCAGCTAATAGTTATTTTGTTTTTTCTTTTATTTTTTAGAGTTATTTCAATAAAGAATTATCATCCGAAGATAAGAATTATCACTCAGATGTTGCAATATCACAATAAGGTAACATAGCAACCAACACTGTCTCTCCCCAGAGTTTTTTGCTACATTGCATTCACTTATACACAATTTTTGTCTCCACTAACAGTAAGCATTTCTCTTTCCAAACAAAAACTTCCTAATAAGCCTTGTCATGTAATGCAGTTACAAGGTAATACAGGATTTTTTTATATATGCAAGGGACCTTATAAAAATCCTCTGACATTTAATAATTGCCTAAAGGTCTAATTCTCAAAACTATGCTGTTCATAGTTGCTATTGATTTCAGATGAGCTTTTTTTTTTTTTTTAAAAAAACAAAAGCATAGCATTATTGTCTTATTGGAGGTTTATTGTGATTTTGTGATTTTTGCATGAAAATGTAGACCTGAAATTGCCAAGTAGCAGGCACAAAATAAATAAGATCAAGTTTTTCATATAAAACATAATTCAGTTGTGGAATTTGTTCCTAAAAATTTTTTGGAGATCGAAATTATAAAACCACTTTGGAAAGGAATTTACCAAATTTTTGATGGTAAATCTGTGGCCTTTAAATGCAGTAAAGTCAGTTCATTCAATCCTGAGATGAGGAAGTCCATAAACTGCTGATGAACAGGGCTAAGAAGAATATATCAGAGGACAGACTACTCATGTGACCTGCTTCTTATTTCTAAAAGCATCAACCGCTGCCCAGTGTCAGAAAAAAAGCTTGGCTGGGTAGACCTTCATTCAATGAAATACGATAATCCTGGTGCTCCGAAGGTTTGACTGCTAACTGTTCCTTACACCTGTGACCTTCAGCTAGAACAAGAGCAATTACTGTTGCTTGTGATGTCCTCTTCCTTTGCATGAATAGAAGGAGCCTGTCTTTTTATAGAATAAAAGCAAGGTGTTTCTCTGCTTTAAAAAGGTTCCGAGGGGAAGATCTTTTAAATACTGCATTTTTCCTTTGTATTTCCAATTAATATGCCTTCAAGTATAGCTTTTATCAAAGTGCTGAATTGTAATATTAGCTCATGAAGGGAAACAAGCATGAAGGTCTCTGTGTTTCCTTCTGTCTATGCATTTCTATAAGGCAGATGGAAGAGAGAATCTGGTAGAGTTGTACCAATAACAATATTAATACCTATCTAACTGACCAGTGTCAATACTGGAGATCTGTACTGATCATCTATTTTCTTTATTCTGTCCTTATAATTAGCAGTCTTAGGAAAAAGTTTGAATTTTCACTAAGTCAAGTACTATCGTTCAGGGGTGAAGGGATGAAATAGAAAAGACGGAAGATGATGTATACCTTATTAGAGGAGAATGTCTTATAAAGGTTGCAACTTCACTCAACTTTTAACTAAGTTACATTAGATTCCTGTATATTAAGCATGTGCCATATCAGTCAGAGAGTAGCTTAAAGTGCTGTAAAAGGAATACACAGAAGGGAAGGAAAACTTTACAACTTTCTGTGGTTCATTCAGGTGTGCAAATGGGCCTGGCAGTGTCACAGCCAGAATATGGCTTGAGAAATATAAGATTTTGTTTATAATAAGTAAGATTGGAACATCTTCTAGCACAGACTTAAACTTTAAAATACTCAGTGTGCTTCTGCCTACTTGTCCCGATCCAATGTCGGGGTCATTTAAATGTCCTAATCTGATGTCAGGGAAGATTTCAATACAATCCCAAGGGTAAGATTAAGACACAGACGAGGTCAAATGCCATATACCCAGAACACCTTTTATTACAAAAAGAAGTAATAAAGGGAATAGTGATAGGATAGGATGGAACGAAAGATGGTAATCAAGCCAGCAGTCGGGATAGGGCTGCAAGAATAGTCACCACCATGGATCCTGCGGTTAGGCGGCAGTGATGGGCGGGGCGAGGGGGTCTCAGTTCCTTGGAGATGCAGAGACGAGCAGTCATGCACGTGGCTTGCTCTGGCGGTGGTGAGGCGATGTGTGGTGCAGTCAGGCGGTCATCATCTCTCTCTCCTTGCCCATGCAGGTCCTCCATAAATATCCCTTCGAGGGCCGTGGTTTCCATAGCAACGATACATCTCTCTCTATGCCCCCCAGTGACTGCTGCATGCTTGGGGCAGGGGCATGCCTGGGCAGAACATTTTCACAAGTAGGGGTTTCCAGAACCCTGTGGTCTTGTGACCATCCTTGCAAACAATCTTTGAGATGAGTTCATACTGCAGTCCCTCACACTACTCAGGAAAAGTCAAAATAACCAGTAACAAAGAAAATAATTCACTGTTATCTTATTCAATACTGTACTGTGTTTGAGGAAGTATTTCTTTTTTTTCACCAGCGGGGTATTTTGTTTGTTTGTTTCTTTTCCAGGCTCATCTACTAAATATTCCGAGCTGGAACTGGAAAGAAGGGGATGATGCAATCTGTCTTGCTGAGCTCAAGCTGGGTTTCATAGCCCAGAGCTGCCTGGCACCAGGCCTTTCAACAATGTTAGCCAACCTCTTCTCTATGAGGTCATTCATAAAGGTAATGTCTTGTCTCATTAGAATGTATTAGTCAGCAATTCAGTTTGTCATAAAGCTGAGTAGAGAACATGGCTCAAATATGAAACAGATAGGAACACATTAATAGATTTTGTGAGACAAAAAAAACCCAACAAAACAGCACACACTTGCATACAAAAGTTCTCTGCTGCAACTTGGGCAATGAGCC